CTGTATCCAAAAGACAGATCCAATAGACACACATAATAAGTAATTATGTCCTTCAGGACATGTACCTTGCCCTTAAAATGCTCAGGATTATTTTTTTAAAATCACAATTTACTTAAGGCTCTTTGTTTTGAGAATAACACTGGGAATAACCCTGCTTTTTATAGTGCTAAAATTTTACATGATCGAATTTTCTACCAAAGAAACACTTAGCTTAGTTTTCTAGGGAGTTAGGAAAGAATTCTTAGACCTGATTGTCTTCCATCATGGGTTAATTTCGGGCCCAGGAATTGAACTGACCACGGAGTATACCCACATGTCCAATTATGGATTATCACTGATCAATGAAGACTGAGAAAATATTTTTTAAAACTGGTTTTCAATGATCCATAGTAACTAATAAAAATAGAACATTGAATAAAAAGGGCAGAAACACTAAGTACATATAATTACAATCATGAGTAGGCCATTAATCTGTATTACTTCTCTGAAATAACCAGAAGCCCTTTCTGACATAATAAACTGATAATAACTCACAGAAGCCCCGACCCCACTCATCTATGCTCTGACCACTAGCAGGATGGGCACATTTAACAGTCTACAGTAGTTGAAATTACCCCACAGAAGCTTTCTTATCCAAGGAAGCAGCTCTATTTTGGCCCTTGTTTCCTATGAGAAATGTGTGCGGCCACTGCACTATTCCTGACCACAAAGTCAATAGTATTCTGGTGCTCTAGAACACAAGAAGGAAAGTCTCCAATACATCTTAAGCTAGCATTTCTTAAATAATTTTTCAAGACATATTAGGCATGTGATAAATAGCAAAATCTACACAAGCCACAGGCTCTTTCAGAAATAAGTGAGGTAATGATCTTAGCAAAGAATCAGTCTAGCAAAGGAATGAAGTGTAATTGTTTAGAAGTGGGGTTTCACACTATAAAGCTGGACAGGTTGTTAGCCCACTACTAGAAACTGTTATGAAAACTTGCTATCATTAAAATGATTTATCTTTAAAATGTAGATATTTAGTTGGCTGATATAAAAATATTCTTATTTTGTAGGTTCATTAATGTATTAATAGATCATCTAGAACTAGATTAATAGAACTTGGTCTAGGTTAGCATTTATTAATTTATTCAAAAACAACTACTAAGTATTCTACTCTGGGCCAAGAACTGTGATATTAGAAACAAAGAGATAAAGTACTAAAGCACCAAAGAGAATTCTGATAACAGTCAAACTCCAGGGTACAGTTATTCCTGTGGCATCCCTATCCTTCACTTGAATAGACACACAAATCACAAAACCCTCTCCCTTCATATTGACTGTGTCACTCACAGTGACCCGAACAGATAGAGAAGAACTTGACACAGCATTTCGAAGGCTATTATCTTTATGCAAGAAGAATACTACACCTTTCTCCCACACAACTAGTGCGTTCAATCCAGTGGCCTTTAGGTTAGTAGCTGGACAATTAACCAGTGAACCTTTAAAGGGATTCATTTTAAAAAAAGAAGCACCATCAATAAATTCCAAGAAAAAGGTTAAATAAAGCTCAGCTTAAATCACAAACACAAATGAAGAAAAGGGTGACACACAAAGTATATGTATATGAATTTTGTATGTAAAACAATGTAAAATAAAAGTTAATTTTAAAAAACCCACAGTATAAAATGCATTTAAGTATCTTCTGTATGGCTTCAAGTTATAAATACAGTACAAAACCTTTGAGTGGAGATGAGCAAATATCAAAGAGGGACAGATTAAGTGACTGGGATTTCCCCATGATACCAGTTTCTAACTGTGTTAAAATAGCTATGGAAATGTAATGAGACACGAAATAAATATACTTGCTAAAGGAAAGGGCAATCTCCTCCTTTATGATTTACAGCCTCTGAAAACCTGATGGAGGGTCAGCTGAGTTGGTTCTAATTAACAGTAATTGTGAGTGACTAATAGAATATAATAAAGTATTATTCCAAAAATTTATTTTGAGACTTTTTAAACCTACAGAAAATTTAAAAGAATGAAGTAATACATATCTTTAACCTCAATTTTTAACTATAATTTCACTATCTCTCTTACCCTCCTCTATGCCCTGCATTTGTACGTGGGAAGTATGTATGTATATACATACACACACTTCCCACCCCTATCCCCACCCAAAAGCATTAGAGCTCTGGTGGTCTAGTGGCAAGAAGCTGTGCTGCAATCCTGAAGTAATGCAGTTCAAGTTCACCAGGTTCTCTGTGGGACAAAGATGGGAAATCTCCAGTGCAATTATCTGCCTCTGAAAACAGTTCTAACTTGATGGGACACAACAACAGAGCATTAGAAGGTAAGCCCTCTACAGTGACAAAGAGAATACAGGAAGGGAGCTAAGAAAAGCAATACCCATCACAATAGCTTAACCACAAGATTAAATACTTGAAAGTAAATCTAACTAGAAACACAAAAGACCTATTCAAAGAAAATTACAAACAAAACATTACTACAAGAAACAAAAAGAGACCTGGACAAATGGAAGAATATACATGATCATGGATAGGAAGACTCAATATTGTGAAGATGACAATTCTACCACCGGTAATCTACAAGTTCAAACACAATACAGATACCAATTCCATTCTACAACGAGATGAAAAAGGCAATTTCCAATTTCATCAGGAATGGAAAGAGACCTTGAATCAGTAAAGCACTCCTAAAAAAGAGAAACAAGGTGGCAGGCATTTCACTCCCAGGTCTCAAATCCTATTACACCTACTACACTGCCATGGTGGTCAAGACAGTGTGGTACTGGTACAGTGACAGACACATAGCTAAACAGAATAGAATTGAAAGCCCAGAGATTAGCTCATCTAGTTTTGGTCAACTGATTTTTAACAAGGAGACGAAATCAGTTAAGTGGGGAAATGAAAGTCTCTTTAACAAATGGTGTTGGCAAAATTGGAAAACCACTTGCAGAAAACTCAAGCAAGACCCACACCTCACATCATACAAAAAAACTAACTCAAAATGGATCAATGACCTAGGAGTAAAACCAAGGACTATAAACTTCATTAGAGAAAAGTTTGGAAGAACTATGGAATCCCTAATCCAAAATACGAACATTCTTTCAAGCATCTTAAAAAACCCTACAACCAGGAGAAAATAAAATAGATGAATGGGAACTTCTAAGAATAAAATCCTTATGTACACCAAAAAAACTTCTCCAATAGGGCAAAAAAGAAAAATCACAGACTGGGGATAAAAATTTGGTAATGATCTATCTGGTAAGAAACTCATATCTAAAATGTAAAGAATATTCCAATACCTCAACAAGAAAAAGGTAAACAACCCAATTATAAAATGGGGACAGGATATGAACAGACCACTTCACCAAAGAAGACATTCAGATGGCAAATAAATACATGAAGAAATCTTCAAAATCCCTAGCTCTCAGAGAGATGCAAATCAAAACAACTATGAGATACCATCTCACCTCAGTAACTATATAACATAGTTGAGCAGAGCAGCAAACAACAAATGCTGGAAAGACTGTGGAGAGACTAGAACCATTATGCACTACGAGAGGGAGTGAAAAATGGTGCAACCTCTATGAAAGGTGGTGTGGTGCTTTCTCAAGAATTTGGAAATAGAAATAGCATTTGACTCAGCAATTCCACTACTGGGAATAGATCTTAAAACAACCAGAGCTACTACACCAACAGATACATGCATATCTATGTTTATTGCTATATTATTCACAACAGCAAAGATATGGAAGCAACCCAAGTGCCCATCAACAAATGGACAGAAAAATTATGGTCTATTCACACAATGGAATACTATGTAGCACTGAAAAATAAGGAACTAATAAAATATTACACAACATAGGTGACCCTGGAGGACATTATGCTGAGTGAAATATATCAGTCAAAAAAGGACAAATACTATATAATATCACTGTTATAAAACAGGATTGGTATAGGGGTTGGGGAGAAACTAAGGAAAAAGGGGATAAATAATGAACACTGCATTGAAACAAATGAACGAAAGAAGTGTTTAAAAAAAAAAAAGAAATGTTTAAAAAAATATATGATTAGGCATTAACTGTATGAATACAGTCCAGAATAAGAGATGCATAGCAATGTGGACTGGGGGAAAGGTGGGAGGGGGTGAGGGAGGAAATTATACAAGAGTGAATGAATATTTTTTTTAAAAAGGGAACTAGGGGGATAGGGAGGAAAATGTGCAACAATAAACAAATGAAAATCCAACTTTTCTGTAAACTGTTATTAAAATCCCAATTTTAAAAAAGGAAGGTAAGCTCTAGTTATCTCTTTATCCCTTAAATATCTTAGCATACAACTCCTACGAATAGGAATATTCTCCTTCATAATCACAGTATCATTGACACTTAAGAAAATTACTATTAATTCATAACATCATATAATATATAAAGTTTCCAAATTATCCCAAAAGTGTCCTTTTAAGCTGTTTTCATTTTGTTTCCTAAGCCAAGATTTAATCATACATTGCATTCGGCTGTCAAGTCTCTGGAAGAAATGCTTAAACAAGCTACAATAGGTAACCTAGCATCACTTGGCATATCCCAATAAAGACTGGTGACATCTAAGGAAGGTTGGCTCACTTTTTGCCAAAGTTCACAGTCAAAATTGTATTAGAAGTCAAGTCAGAACCAATTCATAGCTGACCCTCCAGAAGGTTTTAAGAGGCAGTTAATTGCTTGAGAGGACACTGCTTATCCTTCTCACTTGTGGCTGCTGGTTGACTTGAACTGCATGCCTTTGGGACTGCAGCACAGCTTCTTGGCTGGGAATGTGAAGTACATCTTAGAACAACCACATTTAAAAAGGAAAACTTTTAAAAACACCAGCACACCTACTAGAATATCAAATTATGAAACAGTTCAATGTTATCTTGACCTGAATTTAGGTATAGAAAAGGAGTAAAAGAATGTACACATAACAATTAGGTAAGAGCAGTGTACCCAAGATTACCTCCTCTGTAGCTCCTCATCAGACACTTTCAGCTCCTCTTTTAAACGAGTATATCTGTCTTCTCTCAGTAGTCTGGAGCCATCATAGAGGCTTAGCTCTCGATCATGGATTAACCTAGTGAGTTAAGGAAGAAGTTAGGAAACAAGTCAGTCAGATTGGAACACTGAAGGTAATTACCAATAAAACTGTTAACATTCTAATCATGTGCTGCTACGAAGTTAGTCTAGCAATTTTGGTAGATGAAAAATTCCAAGATAGCTAGTATGGTTATTTTGAAAAAACTATTGTTTTCTTTACTGAAGACAGCAGTCATAAACATACAAGTGACAGAAGGACTATAGAAGTGAAAATAGAATGAAGAGAGAGAGAATAAACGACTGAATGAGTGACTGGATAGCTGTGACATGCATATGAATGAACAAAGCAGCCGCCACTATCTGAAGTCTATTGTAACTCTTAGTTAGAATGATACTACAATGGTAGTATCAAGATCAGATCTTCAAAATAACAAGACTTAAAAAATATCTATAATGAAATAGTTACAATACTATTTCATACACCAACTATAATAATTACCTTACCACTCACACCATGAATGAATAAACAGTACTGACTTTTAGACAATTAAGAAAAACAATGGGTCTTATTCTAACAACTAAGTTTCAGGATGTTCATAGTCAAATGTCCCCCACAATGCCTATCTGATTCGCAACTGAGGGGAATCTGTATAGCACAGAGGTTGGGAGCATGGGCAGTTGGACCTGAGTTCAAACCCTGCTATAAAACTTGGTATGTAATTAACTGGGGAAGGGAGCAAGTTACTCTCTCTAAACTTCTGTAAAATGAATGGAAGGTGGCCTAGTGGCAAGAAGCTGCATTGCAATCCTTAAAGTATGTGGTTTGAATCCACCAGATGTTCTGCTGGAAAAGGAGGGCAATCTCCTCCTGTGCCAGTTGGATCCAACTCGACAGAACACAACAAGAGAGAAAAAAGAATGGAATAATGTCAACCTGTAAAAATTAAACAGCTAATAAAAGGCAGATGTTGAATATAGTTGCTCTCAATTTTGGATGTAATTTACAATCCCCGGGCAAGTGTTTATGCCAGTGTTGAGCCATCACCCTGGACTATTCATATAAAAAAAAAAAAAATCAAAACAAAACAAACAAAAAAAATACATGTTCAACATACAGATTGAAGAGGTATGGACAATGAATACCACCCTGACACACACTTTTCCTGATTTTTAAACACTGCAGGGTTCCCTGGTTATGTTTAGACAGCTGCTTCTAGGTCAAGTTTCAAATGAGCAAAAGTGTTTGGAATGCTATTCTTCTCAATATTATCCATAATTTATTAGATCCACACAGTCATAGATTTTTGCATCGTCAGTAAAACACAAGTAAACATCTTTCTGATATTCTTTACTTCCAGCCAAGATCCATCTGAGATCAGCAATGATATCCCTTGTTCCACAGCCTCTTCTGAATTCAGCTTGAATTTTTGCAAGTTCTCTATGTACTATTCCAACTGTTTTTTAATAATTTTCAGCAATTTTATATGCTTATGATATTAAAGATATTGTTCAATTAAAAAAAAACAAAACAAAACAAAAACGTAGGGAAATAGAGCCCAGGCATCAATATCTTAACTTCACTAGCCAGGTGATCCTAAAGTAGAGGGCCTACAGAGCACAACATCCAACACAGCGTCAGGACGTTACGGCAGCTGCTCTAGTTACTACGGCTTGACCAAAAAGGCAGGAGAAGGCTAGGAAACAGCTGGGTGGGAGTATGCAAATATCATTTTACTTTGCGTTTGTGTTTGTGGAACCAAATAATATTATAAATTTCTATTTATAGATATTTACAATAATATTGTAAATTAGTTATTTATGGTAAATCAGTGAAAGGGTATTATTATATTTAAATGCTCTCAAATGTAATCAGAATTAAAACAATTTTAATTCTTGGTATCTATATTTGGTATCTTGATATTTGAAATCTTGGTAACTACATTTGGTAACTCTATCCTGCCAGAGACAAAAAACTTTGAATAGTGGGGGAAATGGCTTATTCTATGTAGGTGATCATTCTAGAAAACTCAAAGTTAAAAATAAAATTTCTTCAAGTTAATAGAAGCACACAAAACAAAAAAAGTATCAGTATCATTAATCTCTTACAATAACAAAGGCTGGGAATATTTTTCCCATGAAGGATCTTCTCTTAACATTAAATTTTAGAGAGGTTAAGTTAGAAACATGGAAATATTTTTCCCCACACAAAATAAGAAAATGATAGCTATTTAAATGTTTGAGTTTATAATCACAAAGTGAGTTCTCTTTTCTTTTTTCCTTTAGCTTACATAAAATATAGTCAGGTAGCTATTATACAATTTATCCTACTAAATACATTGTTTCTATTATTTAAAAAAAAAAACACCAAAAAACAACAAACAATGGTTTCCACTGTTACAAACAATAATGTAGATCCAAGATTCCAAAGGAGTTTGCACCAAAGAAGCTGAGATACTGGCAAATTGTAGAAATTTACATTGTGTAATAATTAGTATATGTAAAGTCTTTCAAAATTACTGCTGAAAATTTTTATGTTTTCATCTCTTTCACATAGACATTGGTTTTGGCAGTGCCTTTCTCCAAAATATTAATAATTTAAACTTTTATTGTTAACAACAGAAAAAAAAATACATTATATGAATTTCAAGATCTGTGAAAAAAAGTCATTGAGAGCTATTTGTCAATTGCATAAGTTGGTGTTCGGGGTGATTGCTCCCCACCTTTGCAGTACAGTGAGTGTGCCCACGTTGACTCGGTGAATGCCGTCCAGGAGGACGAGTTTTCCTTCCAAAGCAGCGTTCACGAGGGGAGAGGACCGCCAGGCAGTGTCTCCATTCGGGAGCGTGTATCTCTGCTGTAATAGATCCCGCGCTGTCATGTCCTAAAGTCAATTTCCACCACCCAACAAAGAAAACACAGAAATACAGAAATTAATACTTAAGACAAGAATTGCACTTCACTTAACTTTACAGTTACCTCTCTCTGATCATAGTATTCCATACATTTTCTCCGACTCACTAAAAAGAAAGACATTCAGAAAGGTTGTGGGTTACTTGAGGATTTTTTCCGAATACTCAACCACATAATATACTACGAGCAAGTTTTGCTTACATCCCCCTCCTCCTTTATTTTAATGTTTTCTTTCAAAATGTTCATTTGCTATCTACACAGACGACTGTAATAATTTCTACCTGATATTAACTAAATTCAACTCAATCTGTTTCAATCATGCAAGGATCAAAATGTGCAGATTGCTTTCTCAGAATGAGAGGCAACACAATCACAAGGCAGAGGCCCGGAGATGCTTCTAAAAACCAAGCATGTTTTGGTTGGTTGTTGTATTTTTTTTTTTAAAGCAGTTGATGAGCTCTCTTGAAAAACCATGCCAGGGACCATCACAATGACTCATTATATGAAAAAGGCTTTGCTAATGGAAGAATCTGGTAGGACAGTCATCAGATGAGCTACAGGAATCAACAATCAGCACAGCACCCAACAAGCAAACTTTTAAATCACATGCACAATGTCCCTGCACTACATCAGTGGCGCAGATTGAAGCAAGTTATTAATAGCTATAGTAGTAAGAAAGTCTATCAACTTTGTTGTTCTTGTGTTGTTATGTGCCGTCGAG